TTTTTTCTAATTTTCAAATTGTTGAGTAGGATTCCAGTAACATGATGACATATTCACAACTTATAGATATAAGATACCTTTTCTTTAGTTCATGAACGAAAACTATAAAGAGCACGATGTGTATCATAGTGGCTTGTATAATAGTACCGTTAGCAATGTTTTCTTCTAGACTTAAATTCACATAGTCTAAATTGTTGTCTTGTTGATATAAAAATCTGAAATCTAAATATGTGCAGTACGTAGCATTTTAATAATTAAAGAACGTAGGCCAGTTGATTCCTTTTACAACGCATATATATATATATATATATATATATATATATATATATATAATGGATTAAGATTAAATACACGTCTAAAAAACAAACTCGTGAATCGTGAGAGTCCAAGTTTAACGGCTACAAAAGCGACTGTAAATTCGTAATTCCTTCTACGAAAACTGGTGCATGTATAATTTACGACTGTTCCGATACAATAACTTGAAACGAGTGTGTACGGATAGTAACCGATCAAGTCGGCCACAAAAAAATTAGGTGAAGTAGTAATTTTTCTGTCAAACGATACACGTAATTTTTGTGAAACACGTGATCTACTTATTTATACCTTGAATTTATCGGTCAACGATATGACTTTTCACCATACTTTTACAATTCTAAATACTCAAAATTACAAAACTGCGTGAAAGTAACCCAAATAGTCAACACCCTTCATGCTAGTGGATGGTCAACCAAAGAGACTAGGATGTTGAACTTGCAACTAAATGCGAAGAAAGTAGGAAATTTATAATAATAATTTAGTACAAAATAATGAACGTTCGAAAATAAAAACCCAGTTTTTACATAATCTTTGTTTTGCAAAAATCATCTAAAATGGAACACCTTATAGACAAACCCGAACCAACAAAAACAAAAAGTTTAAACTGGAACAGATTTAATACTAATATCATTTGGAGATTTAATTTGAATCTTATAGAACTATCACAAAAACGGCAAAAAAACGTAGTTACAAAAACCTGATCAGCTACCTAAACCTCTTCGCGATCAGAACATTAGTTGAGCCGAAAGTAACTTTTGTTGTACGAATCGTACTAAGACTCTGAAGGACAATAGTAATAGTTTAATTCCATTAATACTAATATCATTTGGAATTTTAATTTTCCTAGAGAGTTGGTGACATTGGACCACTGTGTCTTTTAGTCAGCCAATCCACACACATAGATTTAATACATTCGGATCCACATATATACGCATAAATACACATATCTATTACAAGTATATACATCCATGTGCATCTTCATTAAATTTTCTCTCTTGTAGAGAGACCAAATTGTGGAAGTAACTTGTGGTGTTGGCTTTTTTTCAAAAAACTTGTGGTGCTGGCTTTCATCATTTGACAATGATTCGTAATGAATATAGTCGCCGTAATTTTATTTATTATAAAAACTAAAAATCATTGGTTGATTAAATTTAAGTAGTAACTAAAACTAATTCGATAGTAGCTCTCAAGTTGCATCATCATCACCGTCACAAGGACATATAACGAGTTTCCTCATGCCGTGTCTCACGCAACAAGTTGCAATTCCTCGTCACACATACTTGAAACAAAACAGTACACTTTTTAACCGATATAAACTAAACTAACGAGTTTCCTCTTGGTACATCATTTGCCTTGGTTAATCCAAAGCTAAAACTCTTATGCGTCTAGAATAAAGCAAAGTCGTTTTGTAGTCTATTATATAAAAATATTCGCATAGATCGTGTTCTCTTGCATTTTTACCGAGGTTAGTAAATTTGGTTATCTTCCTTACAAATTATAGAAACAGCTTGTTTATAGAAATGGCCATATAAATAAGCAAATAATGATTACAAATATACATACAACATACAGAGATGGTCAAGGATAAACTAGGACACATACAGATAATAAGACATATTTTTCATATTTGAAAACGACATCTATTATAAAGAGATTTCACGAAGGAAATTTTCCGAAAGATCGACATGTGTGAACATGTGGCATGTACGGATAAAGAAGTAAATATATTTGGGGCAAAATGAAAAAAGAACATTGAAGGACCTAACATTAATTTATGCATACAGATTTATATCCAGAAGGGCACTAGACACAAAGGGACAACTCTATTTAGAATACAGTTTGGCACTACCACTAGACCTAATTTATTCGTGTTCTTGTAATAATTTAAATACAGCTTTTTCAATTTTAATCATGTTATATTTATTTTTTATTTTAAATGTTAGGTTTTAGTTATTTAATTTTTAGTGATAAGTGTGGTATCATGCATGTGTTTTCTTTTCGAATTTATTAGGTGGCCATGCTTGTGCATCTGCTTGTCTACACCCCACTTTCTCTATTCACATCCGTATTACAAGTTTTTTTTTATTAATAAAAAGGCGCTTTTAGCCTAACAATTTTCTCCTAACTCCTTTTATTTGCATAAAATTTTAATATGGTGAGTTGAAGATGTATTACGATGGTCGATGGAATATGTCTGCAGAATCTTTGATTAATGTATCTATTCATTTTTGTGTTGTTCACGTTGATTAGATTATCTGGTCGTATATTTTAAATTTCTTAGTTTATGATCAAAAATTAAATGTGCTAAAGAGTAAATGACAACAAAAGAAATCTTGAGTTTGTCCGTTGCAATACGTTTATGCATCTTGATATGGTTACCATCCAAATTTATTATCAAATATTGAGATTTACTTTTAGCGGGAGATTTTAGCTTCGCTGTATCAATACTACTAGCTTGCGTGTTCACTCCATTTAAAAAAGAAATTATATACTTTCAGTTCAGCTATTAAGTCGAGAGTGAAAGAGGACTAAAATCAATCATTTAAAAGTGAAATGCGATAGTGCTCTAAAGTATACATAAAGCTTCATAAAAATGAAATTGATCGGCGTAGGATTGGGAGTAGTTGGAAGAATATTAATAAAAGTTATCTTATACAAGATAAAATAAAACTTTGTAGAGATTCTTTGGAACATATATATTGATATAAGAAGTATGCTTATGTAATAAAGCTTAAAGTTAAACCGTACAGTCACGGAAAAAATAATTAGTTTATAATTATAATGTTTAGTGAGATGGATAACACTTCGACTATGAATAAGAATATAATCTTTTTCACTTATAATAAATAAAAGAAATATAACAACTATATCTTTTTCATTTTTGCGTTTGTCTCCGCGAATTTAAAACTAAAAACTGAAAGGTATTATTTTTCCTGCCAACAAATCTCCACCAGTCATACAAATTTTCATAGAGATTTATTGGCACTAAAATTAAGAATAGTGGAATATGGAGGATGCTGAGAAAAATGTTTTTAGGTTGGAATCTTTGATTATAATTAGAACCAGATATGCTCATTTTATGTCCGCTTCCTACTTTTTGCAACCTTTTGTTTAAAAAAAGTTGATGGGTTAAGATTTATTTTCTGCTTTTCAAAAAAAGTATATATATTGAAAATAGACTATGAAATCTGTATTCCAAAAATAGGCCCATAAGATATTATTCTTTGTAAAATAAACCAAGTTAAATTTAGTTTATAACTGAAAAAACTTAGAAATCTATTTGTATGATAAAAATTTAAAATGGTTCATTTTAGAGAATTGCCATTTTCTTTTCCTATTTGTCTTCGTAAAGAGTGGAATGATCCTAACATGCCTTTGTCTACTTTCCCAACATTCAATGGACCAGCTTTCTTCTTCTCTTTTTCTTTCGCCTTCATGTGCCTCATCAAAATATTATATGTGCATTTCTATTCATGGTACAACAAGTTGAAAACTTGGAATCATAAATTCCTTCTGTTTTTATTCCTGTTGATTCGTTACATACGGTATACGTACCAACTTTACAAATTCAGTAAAAAAATTGTCAATTTAGAAACAAGTGACAAAATAAAATCTTAAGAGCATCTCCAACTCAGCCCCATATTTCACTTTATTGTCATTTTGGAGTCAATTTTGCTCCAACCCAATCCCATTTTCAATCTCAAAATGGCAAAATGCCATATTTTTTCCCAAATTGAGGTTGATCCCATTTTCATCTCCATTTTGGAGTTGAAGTTTTTAAATTATATAACAGTCCTTGAAGTTTTAAATTATTTTAGTTTATATATAATTAATTATTTTGATGTTTATTTTTACTCTAAAATACAAATAACACATATTTAATAGGAAATTTAATTATTTAAGGTAATAATAAATTTAAATAGAAAGGAAATTTTGTTTATTAGAAATAACATCAAAAATAAATTTATTAAAACAACTATTATTGATCAAGTTTGTGTTGTTATTTTTAGTCTTGTAATAATGTATTATTAATATTTTCATAATTAATTTAAATAATTATAATAAATTGTGAATTTTTGAAGAAAAAAAATTATGGGGCAATTTGTAATATATAATTAATAAAAAGTTTTGAAGTAAAAAATGAGGCAATACATTGGAGCAAAACCCAACTCCATTTTGAGATTTCTTCATTTTGGAGTTAAATATGAGGCAATACATTGGAGATGCCCTAACATGTAAAACGACATCAATTTTAGGTGTTCAAACTATAGTATGACTCCCGTGCGTACGCACGGGATAAATTTATTTTCAATGTTTGAAACAAACTTTAATAAGAACTGTATTTTCATAGGACTACTTTTTATTATATAAACTTTGAAGTTAGCTATGTGATATTTGTGAATTTAAGAACATATATTATGTCTATCAAAGATTATATTTATGTGTTATAGTTTTATTTTATAAATTAAGCATAAAGTAAGAAAAAAATATGAATATTAAGTTGGATTTTTAAAAGAATTTACATTCATCTAAATCATTAACTTTTTTATGAGTTGAGTACAAATATCACTTGGAAACTTTTCTTTATTTTACTTCTTTATGACTTGTGATCTTTCCGTCTATGAGCAGTTTATGGCTTGTTTTCTTTTGAACAGCAAGTACTTTATATTAAAGAAAACAGAGCATTACACACTTGGAGCAGAGTAGGTGAACTCAAACACGGAGCTCTTAGCAATTGCATCAGCAAACATATTGTCTGATCGAAAAATGAAGGCAAAAAGATAAAGAGTGAAAAGAAGAGGCGAGAGAGAGTTGATATCAAAGAGAAATAAGTAGATTTCCTTGATGATATCTCGTGAACGAACAGCTCGGATCAGACTGGAGATAGAGATTGACGATACCTCTGCCCTTCCTTATCGTGAGAGAGGGCTGCCATGATCGGAGAAAAAACAAAGGGTTCCACATATTTGCGAGAAGTGATAAGGTTGTTACTCTGGTCCGAGAAGTGCCATCACAGATAGATGATTGGTAGCTTCCACGGTTGGCTGACTGTTCCTTCCTTAGAGCAAGGAGCCATTCCCAAGCTGAGGAGATTGCCTTTGTGACTGTGTCAAGTGGTGAAAATCTTGTCTCCAAAAATGCAGTGATTTCGTGTAAGAGGGGTCGTCTCAGTAGTGCTATACGCAGGGCTATACGATATCCAGATTGTGTAGAATAAACTCATGAGCGATTTGGGAGCCACACCAGGTAATCTTTTGCTCCCGTACAAAGGATTTGAGGCGTATAAGCAGGTCTATAAGGTCAAAGATTTTCCAGACTCCTCTACTATAAGGTCTGCAACTTTTAAGCTTCTTAGATCAAGTAATTCATTCAATATCTCCATCTGTATTAAACAACCATACACATGAATGAAAGCAAATCAGTATGTAACAAACAGAAAAAGTGATCAAATGTACTTTCATTTATATTAGTTTGAGAATATATGATCTTTACTACATAAATGTGTGTTAATACCTTTTAAATCTAAATGACATAAATGATAAGCTATACACCAGAGAAGACTAAACCACCAAACTTCTATTAACTACTCTATCGAAATGGTGTGTTGATGCAAGAGCTTCGTTAAACAGAGCATTGATATAGGACACACGAAGAGAGAAAAAGTAAAGCATATATAATGCTATCTCTGTTGACTGTTGTAAAATTAATTGTAGAGTAACATAACGTTTCAACAATCTGATAAATGATGATTAACTAATTGAACTTTTTTTACCTTATATCAAAAGCTGTTCCTGTAACTCTACACGTATGCGTTTGCCTTTGTATCTCAACTCTCTCTTTTTCTTCCATGAAACATCTCTTCTGGTCGGATTCCCAGAAATCCGTATCTCAGATCCAATCTTTCTCGAACCTTCTTAGTCCTGGTTCCGATATATCAATCTGGTGCTCTGGACTGGATGAACCTGTAAGGAGGAGTAACACAGCACCGCTCTCTGGCTTGATACATTTACCCAAACCGAACTCTGCTCTGCTCTGGCCTGATACATTCATATCGACTCCAATTTTAAATGAGGGTTTTGAGATTGAAGAAGAAGGAGTGCAACACTTTCATATTGTGTTTTCGATTTCGATTTAGATTGGAAACTTCTATGCTTTTTGTTATTTGTCGAATTTGAGAGATCGTTGCCGAAGAAGAAGGATCGTGGTGGGTGTGTGGGTGTCTAGGGAAACCGTCGATATTTTTTTTTTATTACCAATATCGCGTTTTCTTTTTTCTTAAAATTTTAATTGTAAATATGCTGATGTGTGTTGATTAAGAGAATGCTTAAATTTTGTTTAACTTGACACATGTCACTCTGCCATTGGGCGAGTGACTTGTGCTTTAGTATACAGAGGATTAAAATTTTTGACTAGCGCTGCATAATAGCCACATTATCTTATTGGGCTATGGGCCCGTAGGGGGAATCCAAACAATTCGAGAAGCACAGCATGAAGAAAAGAGAAGAAGGAGAGAAAATATGGAGAAGATGGTTTGTTTTTGTTTGTGTTTTTGTTGTTGTTTGAAATGTTTCCATGATTCGTTTGTTTTTGTCAAGTGATCTCTGATAATCATTGTGAATATGGTATTTATTTTGTTTCACATTTTTAAAAACAAAATTTGTATGTGGTTATGATACCTTACAGTAAGACAAGGGATATGGGAGCTGGTGGCAAGCTCAAAAAGTCTCGGATGAGCCGGATATTGGCAAAAGAAATTGTAAAACAGAGATTGGCATCGGAGCTGAGAATGACACCAAGGCAGAGATACAAAGCAGAGTTGTTGAGACGTAAGCCCTAATCTCTCTCACTCTCTTCTCATTGGTGCGTGTAAAAGCATTAGCTCCATAAAGGTTACAATTAATATTATTTTACACCATTTTTAGAAGAAAAAAAAAATCACTGTTTTCAATTTTGATATCTCCTGCTTTCAATTTTTTTATTTGAGTGAATTGTTGGGTTATTGTGTGGAAGAGGTCTTCGTGTTGTGACCTATCCACGTAATCAAATTTGGTTTCTTAAGAATTTTGAAATTGTATAATCGTGTTGTGAACTAACCAGTATGGGGGATAAATCATTCAACAAGCCAAAGGTCATATAATTAATTGAATGAGCAAAATTAGACGAATATGGGATTGGTTTTGAAGTATTGTAAAGTTCTTTTTATGTAACTGTAATGAATTTTGATTAAAATGACATTTAAAAAGCTCTTTAAAAACAGCGTGATTTAAAATGACCTAATGCTAATGGTTTTCACTAGCTGCGAGGATTCCTCCTCATTCCCAGGACACTACGTGCTGTGAGCTGGGGGAGCAAATTCAAGGACGCAAAGATCGAGCCTGGCCGCGATGTCTTGGAAGAATGCTGCTTCACCATTGAGGAGTCTCTCGACTCAGTTTACAGAAAACTAAGAAAGCATGATAAGAACATTGAACCGCTTGATATTAAGGTTGTTAGGCGTGGCGCTTTCAACGAGCTTATGAATTTCTTCCTGTCTCGAGGCTCTTCTTTGAGTTTGAGTAAGTTCATATGTTGTCTCTTTTTCCTCTTCCAAGGACATTGTTTCTCAACTTCAATCCGGTGCTTATTAAGGTGAATACGAATTAGGTTCTCCTTTTCCATTGACTACTTCTAACAGAGATTTCTTGGATTGGTTGGCTTTTACTATTCTGTCAGAGGTTGTCCAAATTCAGTTTTGGTGTCGGAAGTCAGGACTCTTAATTTCAACCAAATAGAAATTGCATTGCAAGCAGTCCAAATACATTAGTTTGAACTTACATGTGTGATTTAAAACTAAAAATGTGGTGAAAGGAGCAAAACAACAAAACACAGGCTAAATAAGCTTAAAGCCCTCTAGGGCACACAAATGACTCATAAGACCATCCTATTTCAGAGATTATTCTTAACCAACTCAGGGACGATGTCTTCGTTGGAGCCATGTTCGTCCTCTTCTTCGGGATCTTCAACTTCCAAGCCCCATTCCATCATCGGCTCATCCTCCGAATCAGTCGATCCTTTTGAATCGGAATCAGTCGACGATCCTTGTGAAAATCCGGAGAGCCCCATCTTATAAAAGTCCAGCACAGGAATCGAGATTGAGTTGAGTTCCATTATGGTAGCTTTTTGTTCCTCGGCAACCTCTTTACGTTTGGCTTTGTAATCGGTGAGTTTGCCCTTGATGATCTTATCCAACAGCTCGAGATTGGCATTTATCTTCGCCAAGCTCTCCCGAACCTCCGCAGCATCATCTTTGCCCTTGATATGGGCTTTGACTTGTAGAATAATCCCCTTATACTTGGCAGCAACTTCACACCTGGCCCTTAGGACAGCTTTCTGAATATCCTCACCGCAAGACTTGACCAAGGCTTGGTATTTGGCCTCCGTTTCAGCGAGCTGAGCGGAAGTCTCGCCATTCATCTTTTCCAGACTGACGATCTGCTTGTTGGCTACACCAAGCTTCTCCGACAGGTCTTCATCCTTGAGCTCGGTATGTTCCCAACTGCACGGCTTCTTGACGGGCCTATCGTTCTCATCTTTCATCGCATGGGTTTGCTTATTCCCCGTCATCTTTCTCTTGGCCAAGATTGATCTCAGTTTGTTTTTCTTTATATTTGTGAAAGTACTGATGAGATTGATCTACCCTATACTGTGTCTCTTTATAGGAATAATCTTCCCTTAAAATGGCCAACCAGATAACGACCAGATCAATAAAAAAGTTGACTATGTGATAAATGTTATGAGAAAACTATGACCGTATAAGATTTTCTTTGAATTTGGGTTATGTGCGTGGCAACGCAATTACTGTTTTAGTTGACCTAATTTTTTTGTTTCCCTTTAATTAGGGTGTGGTCTCCCTTTCTCAATATGTAGTGTTGAATACCTAATTTAACTTTGTTTCAGGCAAGTCGAACTTTTCGAAGAAACCATTCGGAAGGGCTCATTTCACCACTGGTTTCGTTTCTGAACCACAAGGTGGTCTGTGTCTGAATCTTATTATTTTGAACGAGAGATTTTGCTACTATCACATGTGGCCAACAATAACATAAAAAAACTCGCACATAATAAAACTGAGTTTCATAAGAACACAAAAATTAGACTTTGTGCTTCTCAAATCATAAAGTTTTTGTGCTCTCCCATCACACTTTCACCACCCATAATTTACACGTTAATATCATTATTTGGGGATATAAAGTAATAACTAACAGATGCAACTGCAACCAAAGTAAAACCACAACTTCAAAACTCCCAAAGAACCACCCCCACACACAAAAAAAACAAATCTCTTTTCACTCGCTCTTGGACCGATATGAGTTGTCGACTACTTATACTAATTTCCGCCGTTGCAGTATTCGCCGTTGTGTCTGGCACGGTGGAGGAGACGGCCCGAGATATTATCGATGCACTAACGCACGCCCCTTTCGAAGAATGGTCGGGGGTCTTCATAGCAACCAACGATCGGATCCGCATAAAGGTTATCCGATCCACTTTCTTCGTCCCAAACTCCTCTGCCAACGGGTACGGTGGAAATGACAGACAAAAGGTGGCTGCGTATCACATTGTCTCTGAGAGGCTTGAGTTTGCGGATCTTCTCTCCAAGGCAAGTCAATCGCGACTACCCACTCTTCTCACCGGCTCCTCCATTCTGGTGACTAACAATTCCGGTTCTGGTTTTACTGTCGACGGCGTTCTCATCACAGAACCCGACATGTTCGTCGACTCCTTCATGGCTATCCACGGCATTGCGGTTCCGCTTGATTTCAAAACTTACGGCAGCGAGCGGCGACTCTAAGCCTTAACCGGAATGGCCACTCTTTACTTTTCTTTCGGGTTTTGGGCTTTCTTGATTTTTCCATAAACCAGTTTGGATCGTCTTGCAATATTCGTGAATTGCGCCATGTAATTTTTTATTACGGTCGAACCATTTTCTTGGCTACAAACGTTGAACTTTTGAAATTACAAGTTTCGTTTCTAATATTTCCTTCCACTACATTTCTGAACCGATGGCTTGAAAACAGGCTTATTTTACGAAACTTCTGTCTAATGAAAATTGTTCAAGTAAAGTAGTAGTAAACTAAGCTCTACGATCACAATTCGTTTAGTTTTTCTGCTTATTTTAAATTCGATTTTTTGTTAGATTTTCTCTTTCCAAATCATGTTCCTTACAAATAAAAATTTCGGAAAGAGCCCTAGACAAGAATCAAACCAAAAAACAATAGACAATAAAAATTGAAAAGAAAACCAATTCTGAAAAAAAAAACAAAAACAAATCTGAAACAGAAAATAATAAGATAATAAAACAAACAAACTAAGGAATTAAAGCATGTCAGCTTCTGAACTAAGGCCATATATAAGATACGTCAAGAGATTTTTACCCTCATCTCGACGACAATAATTACGGCCGAATTTACTGTACTGCACTGGCCACAAGTCACCTACAAGCTTGTTCCGCAAGTCACCGAATGGGTATCCCGTATGATTCTTCCACTTGCCCCAGAGCTCGACATAATCTTGAACTTTATCTTGTATGAATAAACCTCGTTCCATGTAATTATTTCTATGCTTCTCGTCCGCTTCATGTTGCCATCCTCGAATCATCTCTCTGAATATACTGAAATAGTCAATATCCGATGACTGGTCTAAATCGTTTTGATATTTGTTGGAAAACTCACTCGTAAAATCTATTCTTTTTGTTATAATAGTCGGAATATATTTTGCCCTCGAAGATTCAACCAAAAGGAAGATGATGAAGATTTTTATGGCCATAGACATCGTTAGGGAGATCGATTAGGGTTTTTAGGTTCAAGCTTGACGATAGAACAGTTTGTGTTTATATAAAAGAAGCTTCTCCACTTCTTTTTCAATTAGGATTAGGGTTTTACCGTTTGGCTAATTAAGTTCGGCCAACTCATTTTACGTATGTGTATTGGTAATTTATTGAAGGACAAAAAGAAAAACAAATTCGGCCAACAATATTAGCGTAATATAATCCCCGAATAACCAGAGAAATTGAAAAATCTCCAAAATTATGCCAAAGATGAGCAATAGTTGCGTGAATGGTAAAAATTTATCTCGTTAAAAATTAAAATCTAGGATTTTGAGAGGAAAAAGCATCCACCGTGTTATTCATAGTTTATCAGCCACAGTGTGCCACATTAAATGTATGAAAATAATTTTATTATTGTTAATTTTTGGATTATTTCACGTCAACATTCGACCTCCGTGGAGAGACGGTTATGAATGGACAACCAAACAAGAAAGGCACTTCACTCCTACTTACAACCCACTTCTTCATTCGAAACATGCATTCTCTTTTTACTTCTATATCACAAATCTTTCATGTATCATTAAAATACTAACCATTGTTGTATAAAAGGAGTAGCATTCATTTTTCTCAAAACATCCTAAATCATTTCATAGATCTCAGTCCAATTAAAATTCCAACGAGCTTTCTTGTTCTTTTTTTTCTTTCATTTATCTCCCATAACAAACAAAAAAAAACACATTCTATCTTCTCTTGTGCACGTTAGTAGTGTGCAAACTACTTTGATCACAAAGCTTTTTCCCCTCCACTCTTAAAGGGGTAGCGTTTATGGCCGAAGATTCAACAACACACAGTGATGTAATCTGTGAATCATCACCGAAAAACTCGAGTCCAAAGTTTACCTATTCGGTGGAGTGTACACCTACGAAGCACAATATGCAGATGGAAATCAAATTCGAGGCACACTTTCGAAAGAAACCATTACACTACAGACGCTTGACGATGGTTTCAAAGTGGTACACAACGTGTATTTTGGGTGTAACGATCAAGCCGTGGGTGAAAACTATATAGGAACGGGCATATTAGGCCTCGGGGCTGGAAATTACTCCCTCGTAGAGAAACTCGGATCAAAATTCTCGCTATGCTTTGGTCGGATAAAGGATCAAACACCTACTAACAACTTAATACTTGGGGATGGTGCAATGATACAAGGAGAGCCCACCGTAATCAATATCACAGAAGGCCACTATATGGTTCAAGCCGAATTGACCGCGGATGTAACCTTATGTTTGGGGATCAATAAAAATGCTAAACAATCTGATCACGTAATCATTGGGGTTATAGCTGCTATGCAAGGCTATAACTTAGGCTATGACCTAAAAGCAAAAACAGCTTATATTCAAAAACGAAATTGTAATATCTAGGGGATATGTACATATCATTATTCTGGTTATTTTAATAATCATTTAACAAATTTTACAGAAATATGTATGTATTACAAGTTCAGTATAAATATATTTGTCAATACATATGTTCAAATTTCTTAATTACATGATGAAAGAATAAAATTTGGATTGTGTACAACTATGTTTTGATCTTTCAAACTACTTTTACTGGTTGCTTCGGTATTGTTCAGAGTTAGGTTTTTCCGTTTTTGTACATGTGTAAGTTTCTATAAAATGCTACTTTCTCATAAAGAGCATTGCTGATTTGATATGTTTATGGATGCGTCGTTCATTGGACGTTACGAAAGAAAACACTCAATTGTTTTTCTATCTTGTTAATGTTAAAACTTTTTAACTGTAGTAACAAGATGTACAAAAATCTTGGTAGCTCGGGTGGTTAAAACTAGGGTCTTAGTTGTTGAAGGGTCGACTCGTCTAAGTTATTCACCTTTTTGCTGTCTTAATTAATTTTGATGTGCGTTTATTTGTTTAGTTGGCCAATGTTGATTAAGATTCTTTTCCCTTAAATGATTAATCAGAAACAGTTACATGAATGTGACAAGGCTGACACGATTTTTGTTAGATTTTCTCTTTCCAAAACATGTTCCTTCCAATTAAAAATTTCGGAAACAGCCACTCTAGACAAGAATCAAACCAAAAACCATAGACAATAAAAATTGAAAAGAAAACCTATCTAAAGTAAAAAACAAAAACAATTCTGAAATAGAAAACGATAAAATAAAAAGCAAAGTAAGGAACTAAACTACTGTATGTCAGCTTCTGCACTAAGACCATAAATAAGATACGTCAAGAGATTTTTACCCTCATCTTGGCGACAATCATTACTAGACTGCATTGGCCACAAGTCACCTACAAGCTTGTTCCGTAGGTCACGGAATGGGTATTCCGTATGGTTCTTCCACTTGCCCCAGGGCTCAACATAATCTTGAACTTTATCTTGTAGGAATAAACCTCTGTCCATGTAATTGGTATGCTTCTCGTCCGCTTCGTCTTGCCATTCTTGAATCATCTCTCTGAAATAACAGAGATAGTCAATCCTCGACTGGTTTTTGATTTTCGTAGGCAAACTGACTAGAATAATATTTTGCCCTGGAAGAATCAACCAAAAGAAAAAAGATGAAGATTTTTATGGCCATAGACATCGTTAGAGAGATCGATGAAGGTTTTTAGGTTTAGGCCTGATGATAGAAGTTTGTGTTTATATAATAGAAGCTTCTCCACTTCTTTTTCAATTGGGATTAGGGTTTTATCGTTTGGCTAATTAAGTTCGGCCAACTCATTTTACGCCTGTGTATTGCTAATTTATTAAAAGACAAAAGGAAAAATAAATTCGGCCAACAATATTAGCGTAATAATCCCCAAATTCTGACTCCGAGAAACTGAAAAATCTCCAAATTATGCCAAAGCTGAGCAATAGTTGATATGTGCGTGAATGGTATAAATGTATCTCGTTAGAACTTAAAATCTGGGCTAAATGTAAGAATATTATAATTTAGATTTTAGATTATTCACGCTAGCATTCCACATCAACATTCAATCTCCGTGGAGAGACCATTATGAATAGACAACCAGGCAAGAAAGGCACTTCACTCCTACTCACAATCCACTTTTCATTCGAAACATGCTTTCTCTTTTTACCTTTGTATCACTTTCTCCAATATCACAAATCTTTCATGTATCATTAAGATACTACCCATTATTGTATAAAAGGGGTAGCATTCATTTTCTTAAAACACATCCTAAATCATTTCATAGATTTCAGTCCAAATGAAAATACAACGAGCTTTCTTGTTCTCTTTTTTTTTCCCCTCTTTTTGATTAAGGCTAAAGAAAGAAAAACACATCCTATCTTCTCTTGAGCACATTAGTAGTGCTAACTGCTCTTGTCACCCTGTCGTGCATTCAAAGGGGTAACGTTTGTGACCAAAATTTATTTTGGTTCCCTTACTACAAAAGACGAGCCAAAATAGATTTCGGCCATAAATGCTACCCCTTTGAGTGCACGACGGAGTGACAAGAGGGGAGGGAAAAAAACTTTGTAGTCAAAATAGTATGCACTACTAACGTAATCAAAATAGTAGCAACAGAAGGATCACCTTTTTTCTTCTTGTCTTAATTAATCTTGATGTTCGTTTATTTATTTAGTTGGCTAATGTTGTTTAAGATTCTTTTCCTTTTAAATGATTAATCAGAAACAGATGTATGAATGTGACAAGGCTTCCAAGTTCTTGTCTTGGACTTCGCTTTCTTTCTTTTTTTATCTGGAATTATTGTGTCTGCATTATACATGAGAAGTAACTTTCTTAATTTAGTGAAAGGGAGAGAAAAGGTGAAGATCCATATTCATATCTAACATGTAAAGAGGAAAACAAAACAACGAAAACAGAATGTACATAATCACTTCTCTCGAGTGATTTGGTTTGGCAAGACCAGATAACTCTATCTATCAGCTTCAACCTCGTGAAAATTATATGTTTTTGTTACTCTTTTAAAATTGAAAAGCCAAAAAAACAAAACCAAAGACAAAAATAAGTAGAAAAGAAAACAATTCAAGGATTTCAAAGGAAGTTTCAAGGACGCCCCAGGCCATGTATTATGTATATCAAGAGATTTGAGAACATGCATCAGCTTTGCCTGGCCACAACACATGATGCAAAGAGATATTTAGAAATATTCTAATTATATTTATATTATTATTTGGTAATTTTCTATTATTGTTTTAAGGTTTTCTTATATATAGCCGTCTAGGCTTCATATTGTAAGGCAGACATTGATTATTAATAAAAGAGCTTTGGCTTTTGAGAGAAGAGTATTCTCTATCCTTGTTTTCGGTAGATCTAGAGAGATCTCAACGAGTTCAAGAAGCAGGTCCCAAGTGAGGATTATATCAACTCCCTTGGTTGAGCTGGCAGGTCCCGATTGATTCCTTTGAATCATAGGTTGAGCTGTGTTTATCTTAGCTTCCGCTACGTCAACACATCTATCTTGTTCCGCAACTTACCGTATGGGTATGCCCAATGATGCTTATACTTGTCCCTGTGACGAACATAAGCTTGAGCTGTACTTTGCAGGAAAAAAGATCTTGCCAAGTAACGTTGTCGTCGGTAGGAAATTTCTCGTCTGCTTCACGTTGCCATCCTTCAATCATACGTTTGAAAATCCTAGAATATTCAATAGTTGACATATAGTCATCTCGATCATCTTCTTTTTCGTTGGAATCCTGATCTGGAATATGTTTTGCGATTGAAGATTCAACCAGAAAGAAGAGGATAAAGAGTTTTATGGCGAGAGACATCGCGGACAGATCAATTAAGTTTTTTTCTTTCTTTCTTGATATTGTTTGTCTTGGAAATTTGGAATATTGATCGTACGTTTTTTGGTTTTACAGAGGCTAATAAACCTTCTCCAGTACTCCTTCTTCTTTTGGGATTAGGGTTTCTACTTTTCACTTTCTCAAGACGTGTAAGCTTAATAATTAAATTAACCACTAATACGCACATTTTAAAAACATTGGATATAGTTGAAACGATATACACATCCCGAAAAATCTTGAAACCCTGATAGATACTTTTTTATAGAATTTTAGCTTTCATCGACTGGTAACCAAATCATGCATGAAGGGACGGAAAAAAAAAGTCATTTTTATATCTTTTACGTATTTTTGATAACTTCAAAGAAAAACAAAAGAGTTTTGATAACTTCAATTAATTTTACCTTATCATCATTTTCCATTACCGAAATCAAAACACTGTAATTTAACAAAAATAAGTTGGAACTTTGAAGACCAGATCGATTAACTAATCATTTCCATTAACTTTGAAATATTCCAATTAACGGGAAAATACTTTAAAGACCACATTAATTAAGTTGATTTTAGTGAATGGAAATGTTCCAATAATGATAAATAAAGAGTTTTAAATAAAACCGATAAACCCAAACCTCTAATGCCACAACTTCATGCAGAAACCAGACGGAACAACCGCAGACGCACCACCGCCAGTCGCAGAACGCTTGATCGAAACGCGGTCGTCGAAAGTATGAACAAGCTGCTCAGCTAATGCCATGGGATCATCAGTGAACGTATCGATGTAAATCTTCACAACTCTAATCTCTTGCTGCGTCGCTCTTAAGCTGTACCAAGTCAGAAACTTCTGCCTGAAATCTTTCCCAATGTGTCCTGAGCACTCGAGCTGTCTTATGATCTTCACACAATGCTCCAATCCACTCTCTGCTCCTCCGTTCGCCGAGTGATCACCGTTATTACAGTTGTCTTTCACTCCATTTCTTGCTTGACGGTTCTTGGATTGGTCTGACTTGAAGGGAGTAATCAGCAAACTCGCTTCCGAATTGTTCCGGTTACTAACAAGATTCGTCGTCGTAACCGGGACCGGAGCTTCGTAACCGGAACCGTTCTTATCAGTCACAGCTTCTTCCTCCTCATCCAGCAACACAATTTCTTCAACGTTCTTCCCAATCTGTACAATGTCTGACTCGGTTGTCCTCTTTTCCTCGATCAAAGAAGAATCCTTTTTGTCGCTCTGAGATAGATTCTGAGGAACAATGTAACCGTTGTTGGACTCAGCTTCAATGGAAGGAGGAGTAGCAGAAGACAATGTGCTGCAATTCGTGAGAGGGCTTTCACTTCTTTCAACTACGGAAGAGCAATTTGCTCCTTCTTCAGGGCTACGAGTCAAAACATTGATCTCATCGACTCCTAATTCTCTGGTTCCGCTAAAGGACACAACTTTGAAGCAATACTCAGAAGCTGGAGCTAATCCAGAGACAACAAATCTTGTGTTTGGAGTAAACAACGTGCAAGTCGACTTCTCAGGGTAATCTTTCTCAGTGACCTTGCGATGCCAGATACTGTAATGAACGATGTTTGCAGGTGAAGCGACTTCATTAGAGGCGAGAACAACCGTGAGTGAAGTCGCGTTAACATCCTCAAATCTGATCTTGGTTGTTGATACTGTTGTTGCAGTCTCATTGCTCAATCCATAAGAACAATCTAGCAAACAAACATAAACAGAGAATCACCATTATTGATCATACTTTAAAACATTACTCAATCAGTAGTTGAATCATTTGGGTGATAAGAAGCTGACCGTGCTGCAGCTTGGAAGGTGGTGTGGTTTCAAGAGCCTCAAGAGATTCAAGAGCAGAGGAGCAAAGTTTCTGCACATTAGGTCCTGATTGAAGCCTGTTGACGATTCCTCTACCCATTTTCGTAGGGAGACCAGTGAGAGGACCAACATCAGCTTCAAGGCTCTTCACAGCTTCATCCACAGCCTCGCAGAGATTCTGGTAACTCGTCGTCGAGCCTTTTAAAAGTTTCTGGACTAGTAAAAGACGGTAACAGAGCACGTCGACCCTTCTGGTTTCTTTAGCAATCGTCAACTGCTTCTTCCAACACTCAAGCAAACTGTTTGTTTTACCGCAGGAGACGCAGTAGAAACAGCAGCATCTCTCACTTTGCTCGTCTTTAGCAAGACCGGATTTTTCAATCTTGAAAGCACATTCAAGATGACAAGAGAATCCGCAAGAATCACCTTCAAATGGAGGATCTGAGCTACAAGTCAGCCAGAGACTAGGGTCTTTGTTGTCATCATACTTACGACAAACGCAACAAGAACACCTTCTGCAAAACGAGTCTTCCTTTCCCATTATGGCCCTGCAAGCCAAATTCTTGCAGAAGACAGAATTCTCCTCACCTGACCAGTTTCTATTTCCAGGTTAGAATGCACCAAAAAGATGAAACCTTTGAGCCAAAAGTAAGATTTTTAACCTTTAGTGTTCACCGAGTTTGAGCTCCCTGAGGCATTGTTGCTCGTTGGAGTCACATAACGAGAAGGATTATCGACTTTCCTCTGTCTCTTTGTGTTTCTCTGAACAGGCAAACAATCAGAATCTCTCTTCTTCCCTTCATTTTCTCCAGATTTCTTCTCGGCTACGATTTTCAAAAGAGTCTCGATGATCTTGATCTTGGTCAAGCCAGTGTATTTCCTTTCTTTCCCCAGTTCTGCGCATAAGATCTGCAGAATCTCTTGGCGAGTCCATGCCTGCAACACTTCAGAAGCTAGATCCGATTGCTTCGACAGAGAATACACAAGCTGTCTCTTCTCATCAACACTCATTTCACTGAATTTCGTTGAGTCACCTGCAGCTCCTGCAAGAAGAATGAGAAGATTACAATTTAGAATCAAAGTGAAAGCAATGGAGAACACAAAGTCTTAACCAAAAACACACAAATTATCCTTAGAAGCTTGCGTCTGGTCTTACACAAATGATGAAACTTTACGCAAACTTATTTCCCAAAAAGAGAAGTATGATTCCATATTCAACTACTAATCTAATTTGGAATTTTGAAGAGTAACAGTCTCATTCACCTAAAACAGAGAAACTTCAACTACCAACAGAGGAGAACAATGCTGAGGTTAGATCAACCAAAACCGCGACTAGAGAAACATCAAGGAGGCAGAGAGATGCCAAACAACATGACAAAGCATAGCTCATGCTCTTTGGGGACCAAGATCCAAAGCAAAGAAGGATCAGCCATTAACCAAAGCATGATTCTTTTAGGAATTAGAACCCACATTTATCAATCAGTTACAAGAGTGACATCTCATGGAATCTTATTCTATACACAACGAAAAGTCATTTTAGTCTTGAGTCTTCTAACGCACAATTACATTAGAAAAAACAAACAAACTTATCAACCAATGATAGTGGGAAAAATACACAGAATATGAAGTTAGAACCAATCAACCAGAAAAAGTGAAGAGACCCACCATGATCCATGAGAATCACCAATAAGAAACATAAAGAAACTTCCAATGGAAATCGAAAAATCTAGATCAGTAGCAAATTAGTAAAAAGCATACTCTACATACACAACAGTCATAATCAAAGAGGAAAACCAAAAAAAGTCTCCAACTTTCGAATAATTGAATAAAATAAACAGAAATATGAACAATCCAAATCAGCATCCAAAGCTTCATCATCACCAGCTAAAAAATACTAAATTATATGTTAAAGAAATTATGAACATTATCATACACGAATTTCGATAAATCTTAAGCAACCAATGAAACCCAGAAACCAAAAGTAAGATTACCATCGAGAGGAGAATCCATGAGTGAAGAACGTTAGAGAGCTAATCAACCCCACATTACCATAAGAACCACACCAGAGAATCTTCAACAACCTGCGATGCGAAGAGAAAAATACAAAAACTAAAAGTTAGAGAGAAAGATAAAAACTTGTGGGTGCCAAGTAAAACAGAGAAAACAATATTGGACAGAGAGAGAGAGAGAGAGAGAAAAAAAAAAGAGATCGAGAGAAAAAAGGAGAAAAGAAAAGACAAGAGAATAAGAAAGAGGCTTACCCAATAAGGGAAGCTATTCGTCGAGCTGAGAAGAGAGAATCGAACGGCTTTTTTCTCTCTCCCTCTTCGGAAAAGCTTCCGGCGAACGGAGATACCGGAGAAGAGAGAGAGAGAGAGAGAGTTGCTGTGAGCGAAGAAGAGAGAGAGAGAAAGAGAGCTTGACGAGAAGAGAGAGAGAGAGAAGATGAGACTATAGATGAGAAGAGGCCTATAGAGATGAGGAGATGCAGTTTTATGGTGGGCCCCAAAAAGGGTAAAAAAAAAAAAAAAAAATCTTTTAATTTTATTTTAACGTTTGTTCACGTTACTTCTGTGATTTTTGTTTGGAGTAGAGTAACGTACTTACTTTAGATTCTTTTTATAATAAAATTTAATGATAAACTTACTATTGCTGGCTGCTTACGGTTGTTCAATCTTTGTTTTCGTTAGGCCTGCGCAAATTATCCGTTATATTTGCTTCGATCCGTTATCCGTTCCGATTCGATCCGAAAAATCCGGATAACCGTAATTTTACAAAGCAAAGCAAATACTAAAAATTAATATCCGTTAAAACCGGAGCAAATCACAAATACTGAAATTTTAAAAGCCGGATATCCGATCCGCTCCGTTATACATATAGATATATCTATATATATAAAATTACATATATAAATTGGATGATTGTTATGTTTATATCTAAATTTTATAAATCTATATTCATTAAATTGATTATTTAAACACTAACAAAATAACTACTAATAGTTTTTTAATTAAAATTATATTTTTGTGTTAAAAATTGATTTTTCTGAAATTTTTTAAATACAAATATTTTTTAAAATATTTACGGAGTGGATAATTCACGGATATTAAACAGAGTTACGGATATCCGGATCAAACGGATCGGAGCGGATAATCCGCGGATATTAAACAAAGTTACGAATATCCGGATTTTCGGATATCCGAAAATTTTCGGATCGGATCGGATCAGAAAATCAAATATCCGGACGGATCGGATCGGATCACGGATACCTGTTTTTTGCCTAGTATTTGCTCCGTGCCCAGGGTTAGTTTTCATGTCACTACCACTTACTCACAAAGAAATAAAAAGGTTTGATAGGTAAATAACTTAAATGTTCAAGAGTTAGATGATGAGTGAAAATGAATAATTTTCATGAGAAACAACAAATTATATCAAAGTTCTGATGAATTCATACATGGAATTTGCTCTCAAATACACATGTACAGCAGGCGCTACCGAGAGTATTCTTACGGGCCAATCATAACCAAATTACATACAAATGCCATGGATATTGTCCCTTGTATAATCCTGTTTCGACTCTTTTTCCTTGTATATAATTGTGCGACTCTACTTTTCTTAATCTTTATATGTAGATAATCATGTTACAAAGTGACACGTGTTATATATACATTGGCAAGTCTCGTCGATTGTACATCATCGCAAACGGGAAGACTTGGTTTTGAAGCCGAGAACGACATGTGCCGAACAATGTAGTACATCGTCAAAAGTTATACTCCTAATAATAAAAAGTAATATCAGAATATCAAGTGTCTTTGTTTATCAGTATCGAAATATATAAACAAAATTATTTGGATTACAAGTGGTCTAGAGAAGGATAAACAGTTTGGATTCTCTTGGGTATATCTATCTTAGTTAGCTTTTGTATTTACAAGAACGCATCGAACTAATGAGAAAGGACTTATCGTAATGCATGTTATATATATACTGATTGACTATACCCGAACTGACATAGTACCTACTACGAGTGTATAATACATTTTTTAAGTATAATACACTACATAAATACACCAAGTTATTAATTTTAGTCATACAATCGTCACATATTTCTTAAAGATTTTTTTAGATAAGTAAAGTATGTGGTTACATTTCCTTCGTATCATTTAATTTGTTGTCGTTGCATCTCCACCTAACCTAGCTAGCTAGCAAGCATCTATGGCATACTAAAAGCTATTAGTACGGATGACATTGATGCATGTTTTCATCGAAAATCTGAGTTTTGATTGTCCAAACAACAGCGCTTAATTTTACATTTAACGAAAAATATAGTACTATTCAGAGATTATTCACTTGAATCTCCTAAAAATCACATGAAATTAAAATTTACATTTAAAATTGTACAAAATTTGAAATGTAACTTACACTTTATTTGAATGGCATTTCTATCTACTTCTAACTTTTTGGTTTGGATGTTATGAAGCTGATTTTTTTTGATAATTAGATCAAATTAAGTATGTTAAATAAGTAGATGGTGTTTGTAAACTAAGTTTAATTACTGTCTAAAGATAACGAAACTTGTGAAAACGAGATAGAGATAAATGTTCATTGATTGGTAAAATGTAACTGTAGTCTGTACACTTGTATAAATTGGAGTATATATCCAAGTAGTAAATTGTATAATTTGGAGTAAATCATCTGAAGTCGTCACAATAAATCTAACCGACTAACAGTAATATAGCAACGTCGTTTAACCCAATAACACCTGATACAAAATCGATTACATTTTTAAATCGGACGACTAAGTAAAAAAAACAAAAAAAAACTTTCCGTTGACTTATTATTTAATCGATCTAACTAAAATTAAAATGCCCAAGATTTTCTAGAACAATCTTCTTCTTTTTTAATGATAATTGTTTATGCTTGCTCTACATTACTGCATAATAAGTTGAAACAACCGTTTTTTTTGCTACTTTCAATCCAAAACATTATGTACTTAATTTAACTCTGACTATAGTTAATTCAACATTTATGAATGCAATGCATCATCTGTATATGTGGTATGAATATCAGAATATTTTATGCCGAAGTCGTGCATGGTACATTGTTACGAGCTGGATATGACAAAGAATCCTATATGCAAGAAATTTGTTAGACTAAATGGTGGAAGAATTAAATACTGTGGATTGGCAAGTGGCAACATACTATAAAAGAAAAACATTAAAAAACGATTTTAGTGTTATCATTTCATGTGGTCCCTAATAAGGGTTTGTTGTTCAGCTGTGAACTGTGATGTCTTTAACCAAAAAACAAAAAAAAAAAAAAAAAAAAAAAAAATCATAAATCATTGCATGGGGTAAGTACGAAAAGATAGATAGAACATATCATTCTCATTTTAATTTCATAATATTTTTATTTTATCTTCAAAAGAATAAAGCATTGAGCGTGAATAGTGTTTATCGGATTAAGGATGTGAGATCAAAAGCGAAAAATGCTAATCTGATCCTGTTTTATACTAAGGTTGGATCACACTTAGTTTTAATATAAGCCTTCCGGTTAAAGCCTTCAAATGATCAACTCTGCCAAAGCCTTTTTGGACTCGTCAAGCATGCCAATTGTTTTTTGTATTTGGCGCTTAGTTGCGGATTAACCATCACTCCTCAGATTCATATACATACATTAACCTTGAATTAGCTTTAAGAAAACCGGCTCAGCCAAACCGAATTAGGCCAAGCTATTGCAATTGCCACAACATTCATACTTGGTACCATATATCTAAAATCTTCTCGAAATGTTTCTGGAAATATGAGGGTAAAATCAATATCTTATATGAGATTCGGACTAGTTTGATCTAACTAATATATATCGATGGAAAAATACATCTAACTACTTCTATCTTCATATATTCAAAAAGGTAGTAATTAGTAAATAACTAAATATATACGTAGTCTAGTGATTAGTTGGTTTATTATATCAGGCTAGTGGTTCCGTCATATCAAAGTCAGGAGGTGTGAAATTGTTTCTAGTGGATATATATGTACACTTGACTCATTATATATATATATATATATATGTTATATATATCATATTCATAGGTTTCATAAGTGGCGTGAGTTTTGGCATAACACACTAAACAGTTTATTTACGTCGGTCGAAACCTGAAAGCGGAAAGTTTGTTGCTTTTTATTTGGTTGTTTGAAGAAGCGCGTATGAAATACTAAAACAGGGTTAGTTGCAACATATTCTTCGTCATAATAATTTAAACTTTATCACAAAAGGGGCTGATACTTGTAATTGGGTACATATATGGTCCATCCGATCAACACAATCATGTCATTTGTAGCACTTTTATGGCAATTTAAAGAAATCGCACCAACCGAAACATGTCATACTAATACTATTAATAATTGATTAAATATATATAACAAAAAAAAGTCAAGAGTTCTATAGCAATCTTGTCGTGAATTCTTAGTCATCTTTAGCTTATTGCTTTTCGACAACAAATCCACTTGTGTTATGACACATACACACAACAAAGTTGCAAAAAAGATGCATGGTCGCAAAGAAGATTCTCTATTTGTGGGAAAAGACTCAAGTCATTCTCTTTTCTGATCCATCTTAGTTATAAATCGGAAGGACAAGTTAAGCTTCATGTCTTACCGATACTAAAGAGTGATTCTACGGGGAGGAGACGAGTAGGTCATATCACCGAACTACATTTGGAAACCAAGTCTTTCAGGGAAACATATCCCGTAATTTTTTTGAACCAATACACGTCCGACAGAAGTTATGCGATCTCATATAAGGCAAAAAAAAACAAAAACAAAATATGTTGAAAACCAGGGAAATGAATTATGAGATCTACAGAAATACTTGTGTTTTTGGTCAGTCACAACTATATTTATTTCTGATTTTGTAAGGCCTTGCTAAAATTGGACACCTACAAAAACTAGGCGTACTTTATTTGGAAAATTATCAGCCCAATGAACTGGCTGTAGCTTCAAAGCCCATTTTCA